CTTGAAGATGAAAATAGAACTAATGCTTTTAATTGAATTGCAAAATTAAATTCGGGGTTTTTAGCTTCTATTTTTTGAAACATGGTTGGAACTGTGTAGCGAAAAAAAACATATTTTAAAACAAATAATTTTAATATATATATATATATATATATATATATATATATATATATATATATATTTGTGTGTGTGTGTGTGTGTGTAAACGGGGTGCAATAGATAGACTGTCGTCTAAATTATGTAAAGATGAGAATAACACTGACATATCATTTTAACAGATGCATTTATGAAAATTAAGAAAAAAAAACCTTTAAATACTAAAGAGTAAATTTATTCACTAAAATCGCAATTGGCTTAAACCACGGCCTCCAGACTACTTCGGAATCTCCTGCAACTCTTCTGGACGATCTTCTCTTTTAAGTTAGTGAATACTGCCATAATCCTTGTCTACAGTTCATCTTTGGCGTTACAAAGACTTTTGTTGGCCTCCTCCTCAACTGCGTCACACACATGATAATCAAGCGGGTTGCAGTCTGGGGAGTTAGGTGGCCAGATGTTAGGGGTAATGTGGTTTGAGAAATTGTCTGACAGACATGACTAGGGTCATCCAACAACCACCCTCTTAACCCCAGGCAGGTTTACCTCGTCAAGGCATTTCATGTGGGCCTCTGTGTTAAATCTGAGCCCCCCCAGTAACAAATTCGGTAGTTCTATTCATATCAGAACGATCAGAGTGAGTTTTCCAAGCTCCCGTACCTTCGTAATCACCATTAGACTCATCCAACTCTTTCCAATTCCTCTGCACCGTCCTCAGACTGACACCCAAAGACTCGGAAATGTTAGTATTGGAGCTTCCTGCGCGAATACCAAGCAGTACAGCATGGTGTTTCCAAACTTCTGGTAGAGTAAATTGCGTCATGGTGCTCTTTTTCTCACAGACGGTGCTAAACTGACCCTACTGAAGTGTGAAGAAGACAAAATAAAAATAACAACGCGTGTTAGAGCGCATTCATGAATACCCCCATATATATATATATATATATATATATATATATATATATATATACATATATATACAAAGAATAATCACACATAGAATTAATAGTATCAATGCGATTCTTATTAATTCTATGCGATTCTTAAATATATTCTAATGTTTTATGTTTATATATATATATATATAAACCATTTTTGTTACAACAGTATTCTTTGTTTAATTTCTTATCAAATACAAGCCTAGGAAGCATAAAATTAGTTTTTATTTTGCTTTCAGAAAATGCTATGAGGTTTTAAGTTGCGATAATATTTTCTGCACGTTCTTGAGCATCGATGCTTCTTAGAAGAGTGAATGATGCTTTTTTCTTCCTTGCAGAAACAGAGCAGCATGTCTTCCATACTTCTAATTAAATCGTAATTACATTTCATTAAAGTTTCACATTAGAGTCATTATGCTACGCTTCATATACAAATATGTAACGTTAGAGTTTCAGAAAAAATATTTGACGTAATCTGACAAGTATCTAAACGTCATATTATTTGTCGCTGCGATAAATTTCATGTCGTTTAACATAAAGATGAAAGTCAACTTGAAATCACTTTATGAGATTTCACAGTGTTCTTTTACTGAAAATATGTCGCAACCGCCACTGTCTTTTCACTTTAAAGAGAATATTTTGAAAATAAATACGTCGAATATAGAATTACACACACACACACACACACACACACACACACACACACACACATATATATATATATATATATATATATATATATATATATATATATATATATATATATATATATATATTTTTGCGGAAGTTTGCTTTCCTGAAAAGATAAAATATAGCCTTGCTGATCAGTGATGTTCTTTGTGGCTGTGCGGTAGAGCACACCGGATGAAACGGTAGATTCTTCTACAAAGGTTTGATTTCTGTCGGAGAGCGCATTCACTTTATTAAGATTTGTCGAATACGTCGGAGGATAGACGTAATACACATACTTTAAAGTAAAAATAGGCCGAATAGTTCATCTCTTTCTTATAAAATTCACACCAAGACAGCCAATAATCCTACTAAGATGTAAAGGTCTACTGGGAGTGAAAGCGAATGAGAACAACAACTCGGGAACTATATAAACATCGACTTCTGTTAAAACGACCCGGGAGGCCTATGAGCCGGACGATAGACGAAACAATCCCCTCCTATTAATATACTATAATACTGTTTGAACTAATAACAATGTTGAATTAAAGATAAATCCATTAATTCTTTTTATATATATATATATATATATATATATATATATATATATTCTAAATTTACCCTTTTCTCTAGAGAGCTCGAAGTTATTCCGAGAGCATAGTGCTAAGCAAAAGTAAGTGAACTCCCAAAATAATTATTTAAAATATTGTCTTTTGTTCTAAATGATCGACAAATCTTAATCTATATATTCATTAAAGCCTTTATTAAATCAATTACAACCACTTTCAATTTTTTTCATCAAACTGGAATATAAATATTAATTCAAAATTCAAAATATATATGAATCCTTGGATTTAATATTTGGTTACTGTTCTTTTTGATGTTAAAGTGTGAACCAGTCTTTTTTTTATAATCTTTAAACGGTTTTTGTTAGTAGTGAATGCCGATTTTTGACCATTCTCTTTGGCAAAAATCCCACAGTTGCTCGATATTACCTTGGTTTCTTTCACTTGAATCACTGATTTTACTAGGCCTTTCCAAGACCCATTCTTTTCTGGATTTGATGCTTCAGATCATTGTCCCTTTTGAATTTCCAGCTCTGACTTAGACCCAAATTTTAAACTGAGGATAAGACACTTTCGTTCGAAATTGCTTGATATCTTACAGAGTCCATTGTGGTGTCAATACATTCTATTTTGTCTGTTACAGTTGCAGCAAAGCACCTCAAAATCATAATGATTCCATCGCCGTGTTTAATGGTTGGAGTCAAATTCTTCTCTTCAAAAGCTGTATTGCTCTTCTCCAAAAGCTCTAGTTTGTCCTCATTCGACCGTAACACTTTTTGCCAGAAGGTTTCTAGCTTATTTTATGAGCGTTGGCCTATATGAGCCACGCATGCTTGTACTATTTAATAAGCGGGTTTATTTTTCTAGGCATTCTGCCATGAAGATCGGCATTGTTCAGATTCTGTCGCACTGTAGATGTATGCTCATTGATTCTGGCATTGGCCAGTGAGCATTGAAAAACGCAAAGTTCGCATCAGGATTTGCCTCGGCTTATTGAACTAGATGTCTACTTGCTCTTGCTGTTATTTTCGCGGACAGCCACTTCTTGATTGTGAAGGAGTCATACCAAAGGCCTTTCATTTATAAATAATTTATTGCAAGATTGAGAAGTCTACTCCAAATGATTTTGATAGCTTTTCGTAGCCTTCTCTATCATTAAAGGTTCCAACTATGCGATTTTTTTAAAGGTTCAGGAAGTTCTTTTGTAATTTATTTAATAAAGGTTTTTCTTAATCAGTATATAGGTTAATTAAGATTTGTTGATTATCTGGAAAAAAGAGATAATTGTTTTAAATATTTTCTTAGAGGTTCACTTAGTTGTGCACTGAATATCATGTGTAGATATATATTCGAAAGTGAGAAAGAAAAAGAAAACCCCAAAAACAAACACCTACCTAAACAATTTATTAAAATGCTCAACGTCTACAGACGGAGCAGAAATGTTTCGCGACGTCAACCCCCAAAGAGGCACAGCTCGAGTTACTCATTCAGTTTTAAGTTCTTGAAATATTCAGGCAACTATTGTATATGTATATATATATATATATATATATATATATATATATATATATATATATATATATTGATCTGGCTATGTTAATAAACATGAACTTTTGTCAAAGATATGCTTTCTAATGTTTTGGTTGGATTTCTCAAAATATTGTTATAATCAAAAGATATTTAAAAATAATTCCAAGCGGTCACACATGTATATACTGACCAGGCTCGACGTTGCTTTACTTCGGTGATTGTACGGGAAACACCCGGTCATGCACAAGATGATGATGATGATGATGATGATGATGATATACTCCGTAAATATGACGTTAAATACAGTCAAATGAAATTCGCTAAGGAGAAAATATGAAGTGATTTCTGATTTTAGTGCCTAGTCATTTTGGAATAACTTTCGAATACTGTTACACTCATTTTCAACCTAGCCATTGCCCAACATTATTTAGATCTTGTTAATTAAAATCTGTTATTTAGCTCAATTATATATGACCAAAATTATATTAGAATTTAGCCTATAAATATTTTTTTAATTTCAAAAGTGGAATTGAACTTAGACTACCAAATTGTTTAGCGAGACAAGCTTACTAACCCTAGTGTTACGATAAGCACTCTAACAAATCTGATTTAAGTTAATTTCAGTTCATCATTTTTGGAAACATTCTGTTGTGTTAGTCTCCTTGGTGGTCGGGAAAATGTGACTCTTTAAAAACGGAATTTCGGCTGAAATGAAATGGAGCATAGATTTCATACGTATCTTGACGAGAAAACACCTTCCAATAGATCTATCGATAGCTTTGGACAAAAACTTCTGTTTCGTTCATACAGAAGACACACAGGAAGAAACACACACCAGAATCTGAATTGAGTTCAAACAAATACATTCAGCAGAGGAAAATTTGATATCGATGTCTTCACCAATGCCAAGGTCGTGAAAAATCTGAACTTAGAATTATAAAAGTGCTGGAGAATATATTTTTTTAGAGAATAAATACAGAGCTCCGAATACAGATATATATATATATATATATATATATATATATATATATATATATATATATATATATATATATATATATATATATACTTCCTCAGCATAAGACATTTGCAGATAAATGAAGAAGAGATTTTGGCAGAGAAGAATGCTGAATACATTGGCAGTTTCGCAATTGGTATGAAACGGGTGGGGATATACGGACGAAAGTTTTGGTAAGGAACTTTATTCTAATTGGCGTTTTTCACAGTCGCCGAGTAATGATAAACAAACAATATATTTTCGCGCGTTCAGCAGGAAATAAAAGTCGTTATTGAGAAAAAAAAGGAAAAGAAGAAGAGAATATGAGTGGATAAAGGAAACTAAGAAAGACAGAAAAGATGAAGTATTGAGTGTAAGAAGGGCAAAAAAGAAAGTAAAAAAAAGAAAAAATAATAAAAGAGGAAACTCCGGAAGGTTAATACTAAAATCAGATAATGGAAGAAAGAGAAGAAGAATAAAAAAAAAAAGAGAAAATGGGGAGGTCGGGCAAAAGAAAAGAAAACTGAAGAAAATAATCAGAAGAAAAAAGTATAGACAGAAAATGTAGGAAAAGAAGAAAAAAAGAAACGAAGAAAAATAACAAAGAAAGAAAAGCAAACGATAGAAAACGAGAGCGAGGGAGAGCGTGAAAAGAAAGTTAATAGAAATAGAGTGATTAAGAAATGAAAAAGTGAGAGAGAGAGAGAGAGAGAGAGAGAGAGAGAGAGAGTGATAAAGAAAGAAATAGAGAAGTACCAGAGAATGATAGTGAGAAAAGCAGTGATAGTGAAATAACAGATAGTTAGGGCTAGAGAGTGAGAGAGAAAGGGATAGTGAATTAAGAGAGAGTTATAGAGGGAAAGAAAATGAGAAAGACAGTGATAATGGTGCAACAGTGAGTGACGGTGAGAAAAAGAGAATGAGAAAGAAACAGAGAGTGAAGGTCAGATCGAGAGTGAGAAAGAGAGAGACAGAAAGAAATTAACAAGGGAGTGAGAGAAGGAGGGAATGAAAAAGTGATAGTGAGGTAACTTAGACTGTGAGAGAGAAAAAGTGAGAAAGTAGGTAATAGTGAATTAACAGAGAATGAGGGAGAGAGAGAGCGAGAGTAAGAAATAAAATGACAGTAGAAAAATAGAGAGTAAAGGAGAGAAAGAGTGAGGGGGGAAATAAAGATAGTGAAATAAGAAAGAAATATGTCACATAAGGAGCACTGAAAAATTAAGTAATAATGAAGTAACAGAGAGAGGGAGAGAGAGAGAAGAAGAGAAAGAGAGATATATCGATGGCTAAAAAGAAGAAAGAGAGAAATATTGTTGGAAAGAAACATTGTTAGAAAGAAAAATATTGTCGGTTAGAAAGAAAGCAAGAAAGCAAGAAAGAAAGAAAGAAAGAAAGAAAGAAAGAAATATTGTTGTTAGAAATAAATAAATATTGTTGCTTAGAAAGAAAAAAGAAAGAAAAAGAAAGAATTATTGATGGCTAGAAAGAAAAAAGAAAGAAATATTGCTTATATTTCTGAGATGAATATTGTAATTATTTGCATTCTTTATATTTACTGTTGTCCTCATCTTTATTACAATAGTCCCGACGTTTCGGCCGTTGTACACCCCATCCATCTTCATGTGATTGGAATTTCGAACTGAACCCTTTATTTTGTCCACTGGAGCTGACTGTTCTAGTTCCTCGTACCATGCCTCTTCCGGATGTCTCAATATCAGTTATCTCCCTTTAACTCAATTTTTCAAGTTTTTCTTCATCTCATCTGTAACCAGGTATTGAACTCACAACTCTTGGTCAAGTAGTGACTTGATTCAACCAACGCGGAACAAATGTTGTTGGTTAGAAAGAAAGAAAGAAAGAAAGAAAGAAAGAAAGAAAGAACAAAACAAGAAATGCTCAAATGAAACGAAGAAAAAAAGAAAGAAAATGGAATGGAAGAAAAAATAATAAATAAGAAAAAAGAAAATTAATGAAGAAATAAAAAAAGAACTAAGACAAAGAAAAAAAAACGAAAATTTATACTGAGCTTACACTGGCACAAGGCCGTTATGAATGAGCACTCGGTGATCTCTAGTTTTATTTTTACTGATGCAGGGAGGCTGATTAGGAGGAAAGAATCAAAATTTATACTAGTAAATTAGTCTTTCAATAATTTCTTCTTAATGTTCCTTCTTATTCTATGTGCCATGTCTCTTCAGGACTTGGTCCATAATGGCTCTACATACAATCATTTACATTCGGAAGGGATTTGCATTGTTTTCTTCACTGTTATTCTATACTAGCTGCCACCTATGTACAGAGATTCTACTCTGCTATTTAACTCATAGCTGGTGGAGGAGGAGACGGATTCATTCTTTTCCGAACAGTCACCCATAATGACCTAACTCATTACAAGAGAAGACTGTTAACTGTTTCCAGGAAATAAAATAAGGAATATGACTATTAAAAAAGGAGACGAATTAAAGAAAGAAAGAAAAAGGACTTCTACGCAGATTAAAGAAAATAAAATAAAATAAAAAAGAGAGCTAGTCAGAATTAACTCGACCGCACCCCACCACAACGTCTAGCAAACTTGCAGTTAGAACTGCTGACTTTTCGAGTAACTGTCTAATCATTTAAAAGTGCCCTGTTGGGTCTCGTAATAGATCAGGAACGAAAATAAATCAACAATGCTCCATCTGTTCCTTACGCAAAAATCAAGGAAAAAATAGATAATAGGTAAAACAAAAATATAGAAAAGAACAAAAACATCAGCAACAAAGATAAATAGAAAGTTTGTGGCCGCTAGCAGATCGTGAAACCATTTAACTCTATGGCTGTGTGAGGTACCATACCAAGGCTTGGGCTAACCATTGCACGTCTACCTGTCCAACGTCCTGTTCACAAAACTTTGCCCGAAACTGGAAAGAGTGATGTAAAATTAATAAAGTAGCGTAAATACCGATATATTTTATATTAATGTTCACTTAATTCAAGGTACAAGAGCCACTTAAGATAGAGGGCTTCTGTGCGGGTTATATGTGCGTACAATATGCAAGAAGTGAAGTTCATCCGGGAAAGGTTAACGTTAGATTTAAATAGGTCAGAAATGCAGTGACTATGAAAACATCATCCTGGGAGTCTGTTCCACAAAGCAGCAGTTATTGGGAAGAAGCTGTCTGAATGGAACTTACTTCTTACAATAGGAATGCGACAGGAATGGGGATAATTCCTGCTTGTGTACATGGCATGGCAGGTCCCAACAGTAAAGGTCAGGGCTGGTGTAGTTCATCAAGATTGTAGCGACTGGGAAAACATCTTTTCTGATGCCTGTCCCACAAAGCAGCAGTTTTTGATAAGCTGTTCAAACAGAACTTTCTTCTTAATATGTGGCAAGAAAAATTGGACAAACAAACAAAGGGTGAAATAAATGGAATATCCTCGAGAGGAGAAATTATATTTGAAAACAAAAAATTAACTGATTTTTATAACTAACGAAGGGACGATGAAATATTTTGATGATAAGTATTCAGTAATAATATTGTATTATTAGCATTGGTTTAAAGAACAATTTCTAGAATTAGTATCTCTATCTATAAAAGGCAGAATGTGTGTGTGTGTAACGAATGTACGGCCACAATTTTCGACGGATTTGCACCAAAATTTATATGCACATGCTCCAAGTTAGCGTGAAGGCCAAGACCGACTTTGCAGTTCCTAACTCCCATCGATAGTGGAAATAATCGATTTTTTCATGCTTCTACGACAGTTTTCATGTAGATTGAGGCCATTTTCTACTGCCCAGAGTGAGAGCTGGCTGCCACGAATGTTAACTAGCATGCAAAAAAAAAAAAAAAAAAATCGATAGCTGCATTCGTCACAAGTGGGAAAAATTTAAATCTGCATGGCACTTTATTCCAATTGGCTCATTCTAAATGCTTAAACTCAATGTTAATTCTGATTCCGCAGAACTGGGTTGGGTGTGAAAAAGTATTTGTTGTTAACATTCTTTTTTCATTCGGTTTTTCCAGTTACGAGTCCTTTTCTTAATGCTGATAGTTTTGTGTTCATTTTGTTTAGTTCTTTTTTCGTAACAGATTTAATGTTTAGTATAGAGCTTAGAAAAAAATTTGCAGTGTGAGATAGGCAAGAAGTAAGGCATGTAGCAACATCAGCACGGCAAAGGGCACCCCTTTAAAGGCAAGGAAGGAAAAAATATTTTAAGTCAAGTGATAGCGATTGCTGTATGAGTCGTACGATTTTTGAATCAAGCACAGACCACGCCGGGTCATGCTGCTAGTCGACGATACATTTAGTGGTTTGTTACAGAATGCTAAACCTGGGTCTGGATGTCCAGCAATTGGTCAGAATAACTTTTAGGCATGTAGGTCTGGAAGTGTTTGCTTTTGTCTACATTTTAGCGTATAATGCCAAAACAGCGTGAAGGACCACAATAATTTTTAAGCTTCAGCATGGTTTTTGCACTCAGATTACTTAGAGAGGCTAGCCCGCACTTGTCGGAACTCTACACCAACGCGTGAGCATGCGTTCCCCCTGGGCATCTTCTCCCCGCTACCTGCTAGAATCGATACTAGTACGTCTTTGCGTCAAATATAAGACGAATGAGGAAATGAAATCGTTTTTCGCTGATACAGTCTATGAAGTGGTATTGGAGTTTGAAGCTGGAGGTAACACAAAATGCAACAGGCTACACTGGTTTCAATAGACATGTATGTATTTTAGGCAGGCACGGTGGTGCAATGGATAGCGGCTCGGATTGAAGAATCGGAGAGCCGAGTTCGAATTCCAGTCGAATAATATCCTTGGGAAAGGTATGGGTACTTTTCTTCTCCACCCCCATGCTGTGAGTAAATAGCAGGAAAGACCGGGTTTGCCTTGGATCTACTAGTCTACTGTAGAAAGAAATGGCAACCTACTGCGGGATAAAATCTGCCTTGTCGAAAGATACATGGTCACCTAAGCGTGTATCACGCATGGCACATAACCGACTGATACATTTTAAGCAGTTAAATTAATATCTGCTGACAGTACTGAGATGTTGTGTTAAAAGACATTTAGTACTGATATTTACATCTTTCTCGGGCACTTACTAAATATAATGTTTATAGTAAATACATAAATGCAAATTAAAAATACATTAATTGTATAAAAATTAGTATAGCATATAACTCATTGGCTAGGAATAGTAACGCAGTAGAAACTGAAAATGTTATAGATTTTACCAGGCAGAGGAATTGTATAAGGTAAAACTGAAGGGTTTGAAAATGTCATAACTTGTGCGTTTTCAATATTTTTTATTTTCTTTTTTTCAGGTTAGAGAGTGTCCCTTGGAGATTAAAATGGTTACGTATGATGTCCAGCACCCATTAAATCTCACTGAGTTGTTCGATTTCAGTGAAAGATCAATGATTCAAACTCAGAGAAAATACCGGCCTCATTTTAAGGTCAGAGTATCTCTAAGCAATAACATGATTCGGAACGTAATCGTCCGGTTTAAAAGAACTGGATCAGTCAGCGATCTTCCGCGAGACTGTGCGCACTGAACAGGTAATATTATTTTTGAACCTCTTATGTATTGAGAATTATATAATGTTCTTACATTATCCTGCGATGAAGGATATTCTTTTTGTATGAGAAAAAAAATCGGTTATCAGCGCTGAAAAGAGAACAGGGTCACTAAATGGAAACGACATCCTAAACTGTTGCGTTCACATCGTAGCGATGCCCTTGAGAAAGACTTGAATCAATCTTTTTCCTCACCATTATAGATTAAATAGCAGGATAGATATGGGTGTGCTTTGGTTGCCATCCAGCCAAGAAGCTCTTTTTTCTTCCTTCTTCTTCTTTGTCATTTCATGACGTAAGCAATCATGGCTCCCCACAATTTCCTGTCCTTCACAATGCTTAATATTTTTTGTATTTCCGTTATGTCTCCTACATCTTGTCCCCCCCCCATATAATCACGCTTACTAAGTAAGCTATGCGTTGTTTTTCCTCTGTCACTCTTTCCTCATTATGTGCACTAGAAATTTCAACTGTGTCTTTTTGATGTTAAGTATAAATTACTACTTTCTCTAAAACTTCGGCGTTCCTCACATTTTCGGTCAATCGTATCCTCAGAATACTTCTGTAGAACCACATACAAATCTAAATTCAAAACCATGGAAAAGGCATGGGAAAACCACCCCGCTATCTTTCTCATGGTAACGCAGAGACAATTAAGAATCTATAGAGAGTCATGATCATCTACACTCTGAAAGGATATTAACATTTTCAAAAGCTCGTTTGACATTTTTTAGTATATCCCCCATTTTGTTACAACGTCAGTCAGGTAGAAATTGCAACTTTTAGTTAGAGATAAATTCGCAGACAGACCAAGAAAGAAATTTGTTTTTAAAATTCTCTTTAGTTATTTGATCAGTTTTTGGATGTAGGTAGAGACTCGGAAATTCCAGCACCATGTCGCATATAACAATTGATGACTAAAAGTAAAAGTTTGCACATATAACACATTTAAAGAGAAAAGAAATCAAAAATTGAAAAAAAACAAAAAAAACTAAAAGGACGACGCTAAGGCAGTTGTGGACCTACATTTTCGTGTCCTGAAGTTTAAACAGATATGCGAGTTCCTTTCGCAAACATCAACAATTGATTCGAGAATCCAGCTGCTTAAATCTAGGCTATGAATAGATTCTGGCAAGCTGAATGACCTCATACTGCTGGGTGTTTGGACGCTGCAAGCGAACAGTAAAATTTGGAAATGTGATAAGTTACAGGGAAATTTTAAAGCCATATGAAATAGGTATTATATTATATTCAATGACACTTATTAAAAAAAACCGTTATACTTGAATTTTTTGTAATATTTTTATAGTCATGTATGTTGAATTGGGAA